GAGCCTCTTTTAGAAACCCCGACTGCGCTCTTATAAGCGGACTCGACCGTAATTCGAGATAATTACTTTTGTTCATTATTTCTTTTATAAAATTGCTTGATTTTCTCAGTGTACATATCTACGTAATATTGTTTTTTTACGATTTACATTATTCAATAATAACTCTTATTTTATATGTTTAAAATATACATATGTTTTTCTAGATTGTTTTTGTGTATCGTCGATTATTTCTAACTTTGTTTTAATATATCTCTAAACAGTAAAACATGTAAGTTTATATTTATTATTTCAATTAAAGTTACTTTTTTAATGATTGAAATTTTCATTTACAAATGAATTTAATATATCAATCAACATTATTTATGGAAAGTACATGTTATGAGACGTGAAATATTGCCAATACTATTACATGTTGTTTTAGTATGAAAATATTAAATTATTAATAAGAGATGAAAGAGAGTTGTTCTCTAATATATTTTTATGATTATAAAGCTCTTTTTATTGCATATTTCAATTTTAGCTATATTTGTATCTACAATTGCTACAGTATTTTCGAACATAATTCGAATTGAGAATTAAATCGATAATAGAGAATCATTTTTAATTGTATTATAGTATAATATTCTTATAAATAGGTGCTTCATACAAGTATTGTTTTATCTATAAGATAAGTAAGATTAACATAGTAGCAGTTAGATATTTCTATTCAAGATATTGACAATCATAATATATTTTGAAGGTAAGGATTTTTATTTCTTTATAGAAAACATAATCTGATTATTCACTACAATCAATTCAATTAATCTTTTTGAAATTGAAAAATTAATTATAGATATAAAACTTGATTTATTTAAAGAAATTATTTAAACTAATTTAGGGACTGTTTTGAAAATTGTAAATATGTATATATATATTTTGTTTTTTAGCATTGAACGCCTTTTGTAAAACTGCATATTCTAACTATACAAATATATTTTACTTTATGTTATTTTTCGAATTGTCTCACTATGTTAATTTGTTTTAGATTATATTAATATTAAGAACATATTTCCATCGCTATTTTTTTAATCGATTTCGATACTTCAACTGATTGGTGAGTTACTTATTCTAGAAATAATAATACTTTTAATATGAAATAGTTTAAATCGAAAAAATTATTTTCATTAAAAAATTTAATAAGTTTCCTCATTAATTTTAAGTTTTTTTTTCAAATTTAACTTAAGCTCCTAACGAAAAATATTTTCAAAATATGAAAATTTTCTATAAAAATAAGTTCAGTTCAAACAGAAAATAAAACTTATTAGCGTAGTCTCTTTAAACTAATGTTTAATATGCAAAGGCTGAAATCTTTAAAAAACAATAGTTCATTTCCATTAATAATCGATTATCAAGAAACGCTCTCTCTATTTTATTTCGAAATTTCGAACAGAAAATTTCTTTTCTTTTATTTTTGACAGGCAGTCTTTTCTATTATTTGTCTTGTTACTATTCGTTTAATATTTATTTTATTTTTCACTTTCATAATTTATTATTGTTAATCAAACTATTGATTTAATGAATAAATAATTCTATTCTACATATCCGTTATATCTACTACAGATCTCAACAATATATTATAGATTTCAATGAACTGAAACAATAAATTACTTTATGTTTTCTTGATGGTCCGATAAGAATTCTATCACATCAACACATGATTTTTGATTAGATGATTATAATCGTTGATTTATACAAAATCCGATATTTCTTTATTTAGAATATTGAACAATGTGTTATAGCCTTTAAAATTTCTGAAAAGGTTTTTTGTTGTGCAATCTTCTAAGCCTTGTTATGAATTTCGCTTGACGTCTTCAATCGCTGTTATTAAAATCTATAATAGGAAGCTCTTGTTCTTAAGTGTCTCTAATGAGAAGAAGAAAAAGATGCAAAAGATTCCAATTAAAATTTACATTCATTATTATTTTCTTCGAAAACATATGTGAGTTGCACAAAATTAATATTGATGCAGATAAAATATAAAATTATTTTATTAAAAATATTCTCTTCAACTATCTAAATTAGAAATATATTTACCAAACAGATTTTACTCAAAAATTAGCACGTGTAGCTTTTTTTTCAATCTCAACTTCACTTCCACTATTTTTCTTATCGTATATTTTTCATCTTTCTTTTATAGATAAGAAATAAAAAAATTATATATATATTAAAGAATGGCTGCAGGTGGTAATATAACCAATGATAAGGAATTATTGAAATTACAAATACAATTTTTCAAGGAACAACGACTTACTGAGGAGGCAAAACTAAAAGTTGAAAAAGAAATAACAAAACGACAGGACAAAGATTGGGGTATTCAACAAATGATACTAAAACAAAAGAACACAGATGTGATAATTGAAGAAAAAAAAAGACAACAACTTGTATTAGAAAACGAACTTGAGCTATCAAAAGCTAAACGAATGAAAACAACACATGAAAAACATCCGATATCAAGCAGTGATATTTTAGCTGTATTAAAAGACCACAATACATTTTATAATTTATATGTAAAGAAACAACATCATGGATTTGATATTAACAAAGTATTAAATAATAATAATAATAATAATAATTATTATTTAAATGAGAAAACAATAGGTTTTATTCGAAATTATTTCAATTCTGTTTTATTGTTAAAGGAGATAAACGAAGACAAAATTCAAGTGTTATTTCAAGGATTAATATTGAATTTATTAAATGAATTAAGTGATTATACAGTGTTGAAATATGTAGATACACATAGCATATCTTCTATCAATGCAACATTTCGTCCTGATTGTTGTTTTTTATATAAAAATGTTAATATCAATTGTGTTGGAGGACGTAAATGTTTACAAGATTTTATTATTTGTGTTGGTGAATATAAAAAATCTAACCGTTCTATGACTGATTCAGTCGGACAAATATTTCACTATTTGCATTTACTATTAGATAAACAAAATCGTAAAAAGATCTATGGTTTTTTAATTAATAATAAACAAATGATATTTTTGTATGTTGAAAAAGGAGATAAACCAGATCTATATGATTACTATGAAAGTGAAAATTTAGACATGTTTATTAATATTCCTAAAAGATTATCATCTGTTGCTATGTCAATAACAAATAAACAATGGAGAAAGAAATATTTAAATGAAGTTACTTGGAAAATATTTACAAATTTTTTAACAATGAATGAAAACTTTTTTGAATATAGGATGTTAAATATAGATCATCGTGATGATTTACTTGGTAATAAATATGAAATAATGCAAAAATTGGGCTCTGGTTTAACTTCAATGGTTTATTTATTAAGAAATAATGAAAATAATTCTTTAAATGATGATACAGAACTACATGTTTTAAAAATATCTAAATGTCATGGGTTTGAAGAAAATTTTATAAATGAAGTGAAAATTACAAATGAATTAAAACAATTAAATGATTTAGACAAATTTAATTCATTTTTTCAAGATATTCTACATGATTCACCTACAGGTAATATTTGTCTATCAATTTTTTTTACACGTTTCTAACATGTTCTAAAGCTTATTGAAAAGTTAGACGACTAGTTTTGTTTTTTGTTGTAAAATGAAGAAAAACTTAAGCAGAAATAAGATTTAATGATATGGTAAAACTGGAATTTGTAGTTCTTCAATGAAGAGACTTATAAAAAAAAATTACTGATCAATATAGATAAATGAATAGAAGATGTTTTGTTTTTTCAAGGACAATATTTCGAGTAAAACGAATGTTTCTTCTATTCATCAAATATTGAATAAGTTAGGAGAAAAATCTATGAAAAATTGAATCCATTGATGATGAAAGTTATTTTTAGAGATTTTTCTAGTTAACAAAAGAAGAGAGATATATTTTGTTTTGAGCAAAATTCTTATGATTATGAACAATTAATAGAAATTTAGTTATGTACAATGATTTTCATAACGATATATGATATAAAAATATTTTGATTTTATATTAATAGAAATTGTTGAAATAATCAAATAGAAAAAGTTCGAGATTGATTAAATAAAACATTGAATAATTGAGAATAGAAACTTAGTTAAATATTAAGTAATACTAAGACATTATAAAGTATAAATTCAATAAAATGACTTAATTTTTTTATTTTTCAATTAATTATCAAGTTGTTTGAATAAAAAAAAAATAATTATTTTTATTAAAGTTTAATTTTTCTAAAAATCATTTCTATATCGATTTTTTATTAAATCTTCTGATTGTTTAAACGGATTTGATATATATTTTCAAAAAAAAAAATCTATGATGAATTCTGTTCAATCTTATATGACAAACTAACGTTTCTATCGTTCATTAATTCTTAGATATCGTAGTTTCAAAAAAATCTATTTATTCAGAGAAACTCTATTGATAAGGTTATTTTTTTCTATTTTATTACAATTTAATAATAGAAGATTTTTTTGAGATAACGTTCAAAAAACATTAATATCTTCACATATAGATAAGTCATAAATGTAAAAGTTTGTTTTTATACTTAAAACAACATGTTTGAGATTATTTGAAAATATTAAAAGAATTTTTTTTTTCTTTTTTTGTTATATTTTATGTTTCTTGATACAGTTAACCATTATATTCAAAACATTCACTAACTCATGGAGACTTTAATGTTTCAGATTCTGTTGAAAAAAAAACTTTTGATCTATTATAAAACAATAGTTTTTAAACTTGAATATTGTCAGGTTAGATTGATCGATATAAATATATTTTGTTTGAATGATGTTTTTTATTTAAAATGTAATTTTTCATCATCATAAATCTTTCTTCTTAACTAACAAAGTTACATATCAACAATCGGCATGGGATATAAACATATTTTCTTTTGAACTATCTCATAGGATAAGATTATTTTGTTTGTCCCATTCTATACGAAGTCTTGTTACATATGTGTTGATTATTTTCTTCATTATCATAAGATTTGTTATTTTATTTTATGATATCCATCACACTTTTGTGTTTTATAAAAAAATTAATTTAATTTGAAAAGTGATAAATCATGAGAAAACAAATTAAAATTATTCAAAATCAATTATTAAACAGATATTTTTTCATACAAAAAAAATTCAAATGTTTGAATTACTTTTTTTCACATTCATTCTCAAACATTAGATTATCTTTTCAGATTGATTCTATTTTTTATTGCTTTTTTATAATTACAAACATATATCAAAGTTTAAAAACTATCATTTTATAATGGATCAAAAGTTTTTTTCAACAAAAATCTGAAACATTAAATTGTTTATGAATTAGTATATGTTCTGAATATAAGGGTTAACTATATGAAGAAAAGAATGTTTTAAAATTATGTTTATCACTTTAACTTTCATATTAATCTAAAATTTTAATTGAATAATTCTCTATGTTGACAGATAATAGATTAGATGAAATAATATTTAAATAGAAAATTTTATTTTTTATATATATCTTTATATCACAATTATTGAAATAATACATAATTGTTCATATAAATTTTTTATATTTAAATATAGGTCGATTTTTAATATTTAATAATGTATTAGAACATATCCAATCATTAAAATCAGATCATTTGTCACAACTTGTTGATATAATTCAATGTTTATATGATTCTCATATTATTCATCGTGATATACGTCCACAAAATTTGATGATAGATTGTGATCGAAAACATTTGAAGTTAATCGACTTTGGTTTTGCCATTAAATATGAAACGATAAAAAAATTGTCAATTGCTGGAACAATTACATATGCTAGTGATGATTTATTAAATTGTTATTTGAAATCATTATTAAATGGAAAATATTCAACAGATTATCATTATGAACGAATGTTTGATTTGAAATGTACATTAAATCTTATAATGTCAATGATTAATGAACGTGTTAGTGTACAGTTGAATGCTATTGAAGAATTACCACCTACTATTGATAAAGTAAAGAGAGCGGCAGGTTTGTGGAAAAATATTAAAGAAAAAAATCCAATCTATTCCAAAATATTGAATTGGATAAACAACTTCAGCGAATCATCTACTTTTGATACTTTCAAAAATGAACTACAAAAACTTTATTATGAACAAAAAAATATAAAAATATAGTTTATTAATTTTATGTTTTTGCCATTAAAATTAAGGTCGTGTAGATGGATATTTATTTCTTTTTTTTTGTTAGATTTTTTTTCTTTCTTTGTTGTAACACTTTATTTGAATATACATGTGAAAATTCTAGCTCAAAGCAAAAAAAGAAAGTTCTTTCATTTGTTAACAGCGCACTTTTTGTTTTATAGTTTTCAGTCTAAAAGATGATTTGATAATTTCTTCATACATGAATAACATGCTGTCTTCTATCGATCAACATAGTGAATGTCAACATCTCATTGAATAGTTTTTCGACTACAGAAATAATTTTTGTAAAAATACTTTTTTTTTGTTTTTGAAGGTTATGGACAAACTCAACTATGATATTCGATATTGATCGCATGACTTGTTAAGTCATCGTCATTTAGTCCAACCTTTTTTTATGTTATCCTCTTTGAAATACTCGGATGACATTAAATAGTTTTGATTCTATCAGCACATTGAAAAGACAATTTTTAGAAACTTATTTTAATATTCATACCTCTGATTGTTTTCAATGTCTAGCAAAATAAAATAAAACCATGTCTCCCATGTTTATTGAATGTTTAAAAGCAACCAGAGCATTATACAGCTCTATGTACGTCAAGTTTAGTTATAGTCCGTTTTCGTAAATAATAAATGCAATGCACTTCAGTACAGATGACATCTCTCTTGCATCATTTATTGCATGAGGTACTTTTTCATTTTTGTCATGATTACCAATATCAATTACAAGTCCTAACTTATGTCGTACACTATTTGTAGAACTAATTGATGCTCTTATCGTACCATTAGAAGGTGTAACTTCTAAAAAAATGTACTAAGGATCCGATGTTATTTTATATGAGAAACCAAATATAATCATTTTGCATTTAAAACAAATTTCTAACACATGATTTTCAGTTCCGGATAGATTATACAATATGGAACTCGTACATTAATTCTTTCGAACTCATGACTTGGTCAATAGATGAATATTTTGAAATTTCATATTTAAGCTGTGTCTTATGAATTATTAATTCATTTATCAACACTTTTACAAAAGTTTTCATAGTCATTTGGGTGTGGGTGTGGGTGTGGGTGGGTGTGGGATGTGGGTGTGGATGTGGGTGTGGTTGTGGCTGTGGCTGTGGGTATGGGTCTTCTTTTCACCCACACTCGTACCCACACTCACACCCACACCCACACCCACATCCACACCCACACCCACATCCACACCCACACCCATACCCACACTCACACCCACACCCACACCCACATCCACACCCACACCCATACCCACACCCACACCCATACCCACACCCACTCGCACACCCACACCCCACACCCCACCCCACACCCAAATAATCCACACACACACCAACCCCCCACCCCATACACACCCACATACTCCACACACACATACCCTATGGTGGATGCACGATGATGAGTAAATTAATGAATAATGAGTAAATAATTACTCTACTTTATCTTATTTTATTTTATTTCACTTTTCTGGTAATTTGGTGCTTTTTACTTTATTCTTTCAAACGAAAATGAAATGTCAGTCGTATTCACACCTCTATGACAGTTTTCGACAAGGAGCTATTGATTGTAGGAAAAGAAGAAACGACGCAAAGGCACTTAGAAATGGGTTGAGATGTATGATATTCTACCTGACATTTATTTTACGAATCGTTTAACTTTCAAGTAGTGCAAAACTATATAGTTGGTCTGTTCCTTTTTGAATAAATCAAACTTTTTATTTATTATTGTATATAGTTTTAGAGCATATAAATATAACTTATGCAAAGTGTAAGTATCAGACAGTAGTAAAAAAAGAGAAAATGCAATCGTTCTTAGTGCACGTATTATGTTTATCCTTGACTTTCCAATCATTTTGGTTGACACATAGCGAATGTCCCTCTGTTTGCAGCTATCTTGCCAAGATGAACATGGTCCAACTTATTTCTCACTCTGCTCAAGTCACGGCTTCAAATTTCTGTCCTACTATCTATGAAGGATGTAAATCTATTGACGAACAGAAAGACGCTGTGGTAAATCGTTCCACTCCTAATGGTGGTTACTGGAATTCCGGTGGCTATGCCCCTCAGTCCATTCAACTTGAATTTGACGTTATGTCATCTGTACACTGTGTTACTCTCCGTGTCATACAGACGCCAAATGGTTTTACTCATCATATCATCACGGCTGGTCAAGACTTGCACCAACTAAAAGTAGTCAAGGAATTAGCTGGAATCACCAGTAATGATGAATTGATTCAAGTGATTTTCGATCCTCCGCTAAGGAGAATTCGCTTTCTTCGTATCGCTACCACGCAAAGCCCATCCTGGGTGGCCTGGGGAAAAATTTTCATTTACGGACGGAGAAATATTTCTGAAAAACCGTTTGATGCTAATGAAAATGCTGAGCATCATTGAAGCTTTACTTACGTGCTTTCTTTTGTTGTACTCCCAGTGATTTTCTGAAACATGTTCTGAAATACATTGAAATAAAATTTAGAAATATCTTGTTTAAGTTTCTTTGCAAAAATTTTTAAGGTACTTTAAATAGTTCGAACAGCAATATTAGTTTGACAAGGTATTATTGTTTATTTTGCAAAAGAAAAGTCATCGAGAAGTTGCACTTCATTTTGTAAAAGATAAAAAAAAACAAGATTTGGATTAGCACTTGAATTTGGAAATATCAATAGGTTTTCGCATAAATATGCCAATTTTTTTGAGATATTAAATAATTTCTAAAAATCTTTAATTATATCCGAGACATCACTTATCTAAAAATTTTGCTGTACTTTTTTATAAATAAGTTGATGATAATTATCGAAGTTTCTTTCGACATTGAATAATAAGGTTGTTTTATATAGGTTACAAAAAAATCATCATATCATAGTTAATTTAGTTTATTTTCTCTGCTTGATATTCATTAGAATGTAGATTAAACAAAAAAACAAGAAGATTTTTGATATTATATTTTAAAAATGGAATAAGCTGATAGACTGAAAGTTTAACAAAGTCTTTATTAGTTGTTTTTTGTTTAATTGATATGTTAAATATGAAATAATAAGATAGACATAGATTTAAACAATAGTAATCTCGAGTCTAAATGTTGACCTTAATTTTATCACTATGTTGAATACGTCAACAAGAGTCAAAGCAGGTTTAATATCAAATATCAGAACAAAACTGAGTAGTGTCAAACTTGAAACTTGAATTCAACTATTGAAAAGCTTTTTCAACTATTCAGCTATTCAATAATTGAATAGTTGAAGTTCAATTATTCAAGTATTAAAATATTTTGGATAGTTGAAGTTCAATTATTAAACTATTCAAGTATTCAATTATCTCTTTTCTTGACACCCACATCTACTAAGATGATGTGTGTATATGTTTGTCTCTGTCGTCTGTTCCCTCAGTCCTTTCGTGGCACCCACATTAGCTGCGAATAATTGAATAGTTGAATTCAAGTTTTCAAGTTTGACATATATGAAGAACAATGAAATATATGGAAACTTTTTACTCGAAATTGATATGACACAAATCAATTCCATAAAAACTTAGTGTAACAAGAAGTTTTATTATCTGCTTGATAAAAATAATTAATATCAATAATAATGAAGCAGACATGTTTAGCCCGAGAACAACTATTGTAATATCAATATAGATAACATATGCAACTGAATGATTATCTATTTCTTCAACTCATTGATTTTTTTTCCATCATTGCTCATATGTTCATTGACAATTGAAATATGTTCATTTGAATATAATTTCTTTGTTGTAACTAAGTTTTCGACGAAGAGTTCTAATGAAAAGAGCATACTACGTGAAGCATTAGGATAGTGTATGA